CCCCAAAACCCCAAAACCCCAAAAAGAAAAATTCAAGAAAAGATTGTTGAAGAAATTTATATCACTCTATGTATGAAATTAAACTTCAATTTTGATTAACATCCTAGTATGTACCGCTAACCAGACTACTAAAAGTGATTTTGTACCTATCCTCTTTTAAGCACTAAGCGACTGGCTCCAAATTTGGAATGTTCAGCTTAGTCTTCAGTTCCTCCATCCTTAGCCAGAAATGATCTATTATGTCATAATTTAGCAAGGAGTCCTCTTTCTTAAGCTACTCTAGCCTTAAACTCATCTTATCAATTGTGTGCAATTTCACTTTACCTGAAATAAGGTTATTTGAATTGCCTTGCATTTTTGAAGGGGAGTAGAATCTGCTGTTGTCATTTTCAATTTTAAGCAGCATATAGCTATTTAGTTAAACAAAGGTTTAGCGAGCTATCTCATTCATATGCTTTTGAATGAGTTCGGCATTGAAAAAGGGCAAGATATTGTAAATAGCCAATAAATTAAGTCTTTTGGACTCATTAGACACTAATAAATCCATCTTAGAGATCCAAGCATCTACAAATTAATAGAAATTGTGACCATATTACTGAGCTACTAAAGGGAGGCAGTTGTTTAAGAAATAGTCTCTATTTATTGTAATGGTCCTGTTTATGTATGTGAGTGCTTAGGTATAGAAGATAGAAATCTGTGGCATAGTTTTGTTAGCCTAGTATTCGATAAGGTAGTTAACAATAAGTGCACAGAATTAGTTAAGAGAATTTAAAATGTACTCTAGCACTTCTGGCATGTCAGTCTATGCCTTCCATAAAATAATATGCGGTATCAATATTAGATTAAGTTTTTTATCGTATAAGTTATTAGGATCGATTATATTTTCGTCTTCTATGTCATGATTGATGTTTTCCTTATCTTGATTTTACAAAATGTATTGCTGTTCATTTTCTATTTCCTTGATAAACTTTCTAGTTACGTATTCTATCATTGATACTATTTCTTCTTTCGAAGAGAACAGATTTAACAATATAGTTTCTTAAGCGATTCTAAAGAAATCAGCCATTATGTAGTCTTTCGAGAAATCTCCCTTTGATGCAACCTTCTAGAAAAGAGTCTTGAGTTAATGCAAAGAGGCATTATCAGCTGTAACAGCTCTTGATGCAAACAACCAAAATTATATGATGATTGGATCTTCTGAATGGTGGCCTAGCTTATATTCGATTATATTTATGCACATCTCAAAAACAACAGATGATTCAGGTTTCACGATAAAAAGATTTTTAAGAATGTCAATGATCGCCTCATCAATTAACCCTGATTTCATTTACAAAAGGTGCCCTAAGTTCAGCTGCTGAAAGCATTCTACAATTACTGATTAATTATCTAAATTCTTTTCTAATAACTTGGTTAAGTAATTGATCATGTTCCAAACTAAAGTTGGTGATTCAAATACCCCCAAAATAGGAATTAATTTCTGTGCTACTATTTGGAAAGCCTGAGCATAGTCAATTTATCGATTAATTGAAGTACTCATTATTATTTGATCCTCTTCCTCGTTTACAGAGGACTCTTCAAATTAGAATAAATTAGCTTAAACATAGGTCTGCTTGTTATTACCTTAACTTTGCTTTTAGAGTTATGTATCTATTTCTTTAATCATTTCATGGATGCATCGAGCTTAATCATAGATTAAAATTGGATCAGTGCATTGTCTTAGACTTTCCAAAAGTATCCTGAAATAATCCATAAATCTCTTCTTTGGTAAGAGTCTTGTCCACTAGACGATGATATGTGCAAATCTTCTCTTCATGAGAGGATTACTCCATTTATTAGCATAAATGAAATCAAGAACATAACAAACATCGAATCTTTTCTCAACTGATAGTTTGAGATCTTTTTAAACTTTACCAATCATGCCAACAATACTCATTAGTGAATCTTCTGCAAGTTCATCTTATATCTATAGTTACCCTGAAAAATAAGTTTGGAAAAGCTCTTCATTTATGTAGGAATAGCATGAATGGTAGAAGTTCTATAGTAATTTCTCTAATACTTAATAGGCTAAGGCGTTTGTTGTTGTAGCAGAATCGAGATCGAACTCAGAAATGAAATAACTTTCATCTTCAAGCTCGATGAATGTTTCTGGCTCAGTTCTCCATAAGCTGATATTTTCCCTCATCGGTAGATAATTTTAAGCTATTAGCTTTAGCAGTTCTCTTGCTCCATCTTTTCTATTGGCTACTCTTGGATCACTTGAATTTGGATCTGGCTTATCCAGCATAAATCGATATTGATCAGCTGCTTCTTAGAGCTAGGGCTCAAAATTTTTAGATTTACTGGGAGACACCAAAATACCTACAGAATGAGCATGTTTATCAGTACCATGCTAGTTATAATCTAAGGAGCTAATTACTCTAAAGAATGAAAACAGAGCGAGCTTCTTTATTCTGTCAGTGAAAAGATGTCCCTTGAACAAAATTTAAGCTAACAGCTCAATGTATTAGCCTAGACTTTCATAAACTAGCAAATCGTTAGCATATTAAAGCTCTTGGATATGCTTCAACAAATTTTTCATTTGATCTTCAAACAAAGCATGAAACTTTTCAGTCTGGGAATTTTAGCCAATTTAAGTCAGATTTTCAATACAATTAAAATAGAAAGCTGTCTTTTCAATCAGCTGTTGAGTAGTCTTCACATACTAATTGTTTTTGGGCTCATGAATGAGATCATACAAGCTAAAGCCACATGCGATAACGAGTAGCAAACATTTGTCTAATTTTTGGGCAAGGTCAAAAAGCAGTTCATTGAAATTTTCCAATTGCAGCTTCTTTTCCACTGGATTGAATATCATAAGCATTTGCTTTTCATTGAAGAATTGCCAAACTTAGTACAAAGCCATTAAATGATCTCTAGCAACTTTGTGAAACTAACCCTTGCTTGAAAGAAGTTTCTTTTTGTTTTATTCCTTCATTACTTCCAGATAAAAACCAAGAAATCTTTAAATTTTTGGGATCTCTTCAAGTTGCAGGTTGGGTAGATTTGTATAGAGTGAGTTTAAGGTTGATAGAAGCCAGTCATTTAGTGAGAGCCACTTGGCTGGAAAATCGTACTTCACTAAGAGACAAGCTACTAATGCAAGTTGATCATATGAGTTCTGTCCAAGTATCACATTATCTGGGTTTCTGATAAGTTCTACGAGTTTGTTTTTAATTTGATCCTTAAGCTGGTCTGTCAGTCCTGGATTAGCATTGCCCTTGAAAATCTTCTTGTTTCTGTGAACCTGCATCACTCTGGTGAGAGAATTTTTCATGAAAAGAATTGCTTGGTATTACAGCTGCTTGTAATCTGCAGTGGAAGCCTATCCTTAATTGTTAGAAATAATGTAAAGGAGTGCTAGCTAGAATTCGGGATTGGGTTCACACTAGTTAGTGAGAAATTCTAGGGATTGATTTCTGAGCTAGTCATTCAGACTGATTGAGTTGACGAGTGCAAGTTTGATTTACTCTATAGCTTGTTCCATATTTAAATACTAATTTGCAATTTTAAAAATTTACTTGGCAATCTACAATATTTGGCATGCCGGGGTTTTGGGGTTTTGGGGTTTTGGGGTTTTGGGG